TGTAATACATAACTCGATTAATTATAACATAATACATAACAAGGATTTACTTTCGAATTAGTTTGAGTTTTAGATGAAAATGAAACCGTTAAAATTAACTTTGTAATTAAGAAGTTAATTTACCTACTTTATTGAATTTACTTTGGATAGGAGCAGGATACAATTTCTGTTTTTAGGATGTTAGAGTATTAATTTGTGTTTCGGATTATGATATTTTATGCTCGTCAATGTCGTGAGTACGCAGATATTCTTAGAAAAAAATTATCTCGTGTCGTCTAGATTTATGTACTTAATTTTAAAAATATTATATTATATTATTTATATTTGATGGGCCGACCTTTGACCACTATCTCGCCTGGTGGTAAGTAATGATGCTGTCTACGATGGAGCACGTCGTCCCATAAGCAACCTATTCATTCGGGGCTTGAAGACACCCAGACACCCTTCAGGAAATACAGACTCTGGCAAAGAATTCCACTCCTTAACAGTATACACAAGGAAGCTTGATGCGAAGCTAGATGGGACAACCACCATGAACTTGCGTATTATTTGTGATGAACGGACTAAATGATTACTGAACCAATTTTGTTATAATAAAGCATTTTCCCCACACTGCATTGCAACTGTGATATTCTTATTTAATCTGTTAAAAGTACCTACAAAAGTACAACACAATTTTAATAACATAATTACGTCATATTTGGTCATGATTCATGATATTCTTACGAAATCAAAAGTATTGATGTCACATTTTATGTGAAGCTCTTTTGAATCAGTCTAATGAAAATAATATTCGAAATAAGGGGGTTTCTCCCAGACATTGATTTTACTTTTTTATAGGATAAGCCGGTAAACGAGCAGACGGATCACCTGGTGGTAAGCAATCGGCATCGCCCATGGACACCTGGTATACCTGAAGCATTACACTTGCTTGTAACACACTTGCGTTATCGGCCTTTTGGGGAATAGGAAGTAGGATTGTTGGGGATTTAAGGATTGGCGAGTTTGGAGGGGTAATGGTCTACAGAATTTTGGCTAACCAGAAAGTAGAAACCAACTCTTGTCATAACTTTCACCACACCACATTACCTAACACATTACTACAAGAAACAAACACCAAATATCATCTCCTATATATCAATAATCCACACAGATATGGCGCGACCACAATCCCTAACACCGCTTGCAGACTTATTCATTAAAAC